AGAACATGCAAACTCCACTCAGAAAGGCCTTGTTCCGACCGGGATTCGAACCCAGGACCTTCTTGCTGAGAGGCGAGAGTGCTAACCACTCAGCCACCGTGCTGTCGTGGTCGTTCGTACAATGTGGCTGAGCGGTATTGCCGTCTCGCTTCTCGGCAAGAAGGCGCGTATTGAGTGGGGTTTGCATGTTCTCCCTGTGTAAAGGTAGACCTGTTTAGACTTCTTTATTATGCCTTTGTTAAGACATAGATCTTGTTCTTGATTCTTGCTTCTTCAAAATTGGAGATGGTAGATTGCTCCCTCGTTAGGCTAAAGCTGGAGGTTTTATTGTATGTTATTTGATTCAGTAAAGAGTTTAGTATTAGAGTTTTAGAGTTATTTATCTTGTGCTGTAGGGTAAAAATAAAAATAAAGTACCTCTCTCCTAATCTTAATCTTATGTTCGATCCTAATACTTTGGTTTTTAAAATCTGCGGATAAACATTGGCTTAAACTATATATTTATTAGTTAATCTTCCAGCAGATAGATTTGTACAGTATTGGCTGAAACAAACAATTACATCTTCTTCTTCATATAGATTTGAAAACACATAGAGAGATATTGCCTTCTTTTCTGAGTGGAGTTTGCATGTTCTCCCTGTGTAGTTGCATGTTCTCCTCCAGCTCGGTTTCCACTACCACTAAAAAACATGTACAATAGGAAACAAAAATCCTCCAGCTCTGGTCCTGCCCAAGCCGATCATCAACTTCTGGAGCTGATGACAGAGGCCCTAAATGCATAAACCTTTAACTATAGCTTAACGTTGCTAAGTTTCATTTCATTTGCCAACTGGACATAGTGCTAACGATAGAAGATACAGTTAAACATATGCATGATGGAGATACATTTAGCCGGTGATGGATAATTATATGTTTAGAGATACAGATGTATTGTCGGACAGAATGTGGGTCAATATTCACAGTTTGAGCATATTGACAATTTCCTGAGATAAACAAGAGACAAGAAAATAATAAAGTGCATCTTAACCTTAGCTTAAGGTCACTGAGTTTCATTGAAAACTCTCGATCATAGTGCCCCGATATGTAGAAACACTCAGGATAAAGTCAAACATATCCATGACACCAGAGCGTGTTTGTGTGTGTGTGTGTGTGTGTGTGTGTGTGTGTGTGTGTGTGTGTGTGTGTGTGTGTGTATGCGTGCGTGCGTGCGTGTGTGTATTTAACAGTATGTGTGCTTTAGAGGGCCCTGTTGGGTGTGTATGAGTGTGTAGTTGCAGATTTAGCCTGCCTGGGATTGCCGAAAATATGTTTGTTTAGAGATACATTGTTGGACAGAATTTGGGTCAATATTCGCAGTTACCACATATTGACCATTTTCTTTGGCTCATCGCTTAAATAAACAAGAGACAAACCGTTTTCTTTGAACGCACAATGAGGCAATTTGAAGTAAAATTATTTTCTTTTTCACACCTCAGTACAATGCGTAGATAATAATGCATTTTAGGCTGAAAGTGAGTCCGAGCCGCTCTTCTGAGAACCAGGCAGCTTTTCTATGGACCCATTCTAATACTTTGACTTTTGATATCTACTAATAAGCCTTTAATTATATATTAGTTTATCTTCCAACAGCTGGGTTTAAACAGTATTGGCTGGAACATACCCAAGTGGTTCCACAGCTTTATTGACTTTGCCGACAGCCTTCGCCTAACATTGTAATAACATCAGAGCAACCTTCTTCTTCCCATTGATTTTAATACAGCTGGACGTATGCATCTGCCCACAAGACATGTCTGCCGGTGCATGCAGCTTTGACCACTGGAATTATTGAAAGAAGTCTCCTTCCCTTTGCCCCGATGGCTAACCTCTTAACCACAATCTTATAACATGAAGTAGAGACGCACTATGGGCCTCAAGTCATGCTGTATATTTATAGCCAGTGAGCGTATGTTTGTGAGGAACTCCAGAAGTATGATGGAGGATGAGGAGCAGAGGCCAATGCTTCAAGCTCGAATCCATCAGTATTTCTATTGTATATAGCTCAAGTGCGTTCAAAGCATCTGGACTGGAGTTACATTCACACAAGAGGGAGCTGCCGAGGAGATAAGCACGGACTGTGAGAATACAAAAGAGAAAGAATTGGACAAGGGGAGAGAATAAATCCTATACATGAACAAAGGTACTTAAGGGAGAATGGTTATAATACCGACGAGCCTTCATGTTCCCCCCAAAGACGGCAGCCCTCTGTGTATATCTGCTTTATACTTTACTATATGCTACTTATATATGAACAAGCACAGTGTCCACGACTCTGCCCTGTGCTCCCCTCAAGAGAAAAACGGTTTCATTTTCAAGTTAGATGAAGTCGTCAAGTGGCTCCATAACAAGAGGGGTCGAGGGGCATGAATGAATGTGTTTAATACAAGGCGTGGGACGAGGTGTGGGTCTGGAACTTAATGTTAAATAACAAACACCCCTTGGGTCCGTGTCGCGTCGGGCTCGAAACATGCAGAGAATGTCATGGCTCCAGTCAGTCAGTTAAGTGGCCCCTGAATGATTTTCAATTCTCTTCATCACAGTAACTTGCAGCGTTGATGGTGATGGGCTACTTCGTCGTGTTATTCTTCATTTTAAAGTCCATTTCCCATATTTCTAACCCAAGTATATCTCCAGTACAAACTCTGAGGCTACCTCCTGTACTGCAGTCACTATTTGGACTTTTTCCCACAAACCTCAGTGTTAAAAAGAATTGATAGAACACCTATTGTTTTCACCAAGGTCAGATTGCGTGTCTATTTGTGTTGTCTGTGATCATCAACTCTGTCTCAGCCACTCCTGGAACAACCGTGTCGTCCAACTGTGCGCTTAGAATAGAGGCTGATGAAATGTTAGTTCTGGGCTAAAAGCTCGAGGCAAACTTTGAGCATGCACCAATGATCAAAGGCCATTGAGTTGAAGGATCTTTGGGGTTTGATGAGAGTGTGTGTGTTTATATCTGGGCGTATGAAATAGAAATTTCTACAGATCCGTCTGTGACTTGTCCATTAATAAAGATTTCTCAAAACTGCTGATGCAAATGTCCAAACCCATTGAAGTATTTTTTTAGAATGATGTATTTATGCATTATTGTTTGTATGGATGTGTTTCTGCTGCTGGACACCTGAATTTCTCATCGGGGAGATCGATTAAGTATCTATCTATTTATCCATCCATCCATCCATCTATCTGTCTCTCTAAATTATAATAACAAACAGTTTGATATTTTCTATGATTGAAGCCTCTGACCAATTCTGTTTTCAAAATGCCTTAAGTCAAACATGCAGAGAATGTCATGGCTCCAGTCAGTCAGTTAAGTGGCCCCTGAATGATTTTCAATTCTCTTCATCACAGTAACTTGCAGCGTTGATGGTGATGGGCTACTTCGTCGTGTTATTCTTCATTTTTTAAAGTCCATTTCCCATATTTCTAACCCAAGTATATCTCCAGTACAAACTCTGAGGCTACCTCCTGTACTGCAGTCACTATTTGGACTTTTTCCCACAAACCTCAGTGTTAAAAAGAATTGATAGAACACCTATTGTTTTCACCAAGGTCAGATTGCGTGTCTATTTGTGTTGTCTGTGATCATCAACTCTGTCTCAGCCACTCCTGGAACAACCGTGTCGTCCAACTGTGCGCTTAGAATAGAGGCTGATGAAATGTTAGTTCTGGGCTAAAAGCTCGAGGCAAACTTTGAGCATGCACCAATGATCAAAGGCCATTGAGTTGAAGGATCTTTGGGGTTTGATGAGAGTGTGTGTGTTTATATCTGGGCGTATGAAATAGAATATATCTACAGATCCGTCTGTGACTTGTCCATTAATAAAGATTTCTCAAAACTGCTGATGCAAATGTCCAAACCCATTGAAGTATTTTTTTAGAATGATGTATTTATGCATTATTGTTTGTATGGATGTGTTTCTGCTGCTGGACACCTGAATTTCTCATCGGGGAGATCGATTAAGTATCTATCTATTTATCCATCCATCCATCCATCTATCTGTCTCTCTAAATTATAATAACAAACAGTTTGATATTTTCTATGATTGAAGCCTCTGACCAATTCTGTTTTCAAAATGCCTTAAGTCAAACATTTGCTAAGAAACTGTTGCAATAAGGTCAGACCATTATAACGTGGCTGGAGGCTGAAACGTGAACCTCTGTAACGCTGCAAACGAGCTCAGAGACAGGGCTCCGTATGAGTCAACATTTCAACACACATAACCTTTCCATGTCTTCCTCAGTGACACATTTTTAAGATCAAGTCAAGGATCAAGCCTCTGCCACTGACGCTAAAGACGAACCTCCCTGTGAAGCCCTAGATGTCAAAGTGACTCATATATATCTGGAAATATACAAGCAGCGATACATACAGAAATACATACATACAGAAATACATACATACAGAAATACATACATACAGAAATACATACATACATACAGAAATACATACATACATACATACATACAGAAATAAACGAGATCAGCCTGGAAGAAATCAATGAAATTACACATGTGCTTTGTGGATGATGGGAAAATGTCAACGCTTAGTTCAGGCCAATAGTACTCACATAAATCTGGAAATAGATAGCAGTAGTAGTAGAAGTATTAGTGGTGGTAGTAGTCGTTGTAGTGGTAGAATTGCATGCATGGTAGTAGTAGGTTGGTAGTAGTAGTAGAAATGCAGGCATGGTAGTAGTAGTAGTAGTATTAAAGAATAGTGGTAGTAGTCTTTGCAGGCACGACAATAGTAGTAGTAGTAGTAATAGTAGTAGTATTTGTAGTAGTAGTAGAAATGCAGGCCTGTCCCTCAAACCAATATCATAAATAAGTTTGTCCACATTTACACATTTGACTTCCTGAACGACAGTAAATGAACCAATAATCGGCATGTGCCTCGTCGCCGTGATAATAATGGATACAGTTGTGAAAAGAGAGAGAGTTCCAGGAAAAGCTGGTCCTACCTGACGGGGTTGTTGTTGCTGTCCGGGTCTCGTGCCGTGACGGTTCCCACTTCGGTGCCTCCGGGAGAGTTCTCGTAAACGTCCATGATATAATAATCCATAGAGAAGAGCGGCGCCTCGTCCACGTCGCCCACGGAGATCTTCAACGTGGCGGTGTCTTTGAACGCACCCAGATATGAAAACCTGGGGTCCACGTGTGTGTTGGTGCCCTCGATCTGCAGCGTGTACGTCTTCTTCCTCTCGAAGTCCAAAGGCTGCAGGAGACAGAACACCATGGGTTCATTTATGGGCTTTTAGTGTAACAACATAACAATACATCTCCACATTCTCCATACAGCTGTGCTCGAAGGTTTACACACCCTCGAAGAATGTTGGATTATAGATAGATAGAGAGAGAGATAGATGGATGGATAGAGAGAGAGATGAAGAGAAGAGAGAGAGCAGAGAGAGAGAGCAGAGAGAGAGAGCAGAGAGGGGAAGAGAGAGCAGAGAGAGAGAGAGAGAGCAGAGAGAGAGAGATAAAGAGAGAGAGAGCAGAGAGAGAAAGAGAGAGAGAGAGAGAGAACAGAGAGGGGAAGAGAGAGAGAGCAGAGAGAGAGAGAGAGAGCAGAGAGAGAGAGAGAGAGCAGAGAGAGAGAGAGAGAGCAGAGAGAGAGAGATAAAGAGAGAGAGAGCAGAGAGGGGAAGAGAGAGAGAGAGAGAGAGAGAGAGAGAGAGAGAGAGAGGAGAGAGAGAGAGAGAGAGAGCAGAGAGAGAGAGAGAGAGAGCAGAGAGGGAAAGATAAAGAGAGAGAGAGCAGAGAGAGAAAGAGAGAGAGAGAGAGAACAGAGAGGGGAAGAGAGAGAGAGCAGAGAGGGGAAGAGAGAGCAGAGAGAGAGAGCAGAGAGAGAAAGAGAGAGAGAGAGAGAACAGAGAGGGGAAGAGAGAGAGAGCAGAGAGGGGAAGAGAGAGAGAGAGAGAGAGAGAGAGCAGAGAGGGAAAGAGAAAGAGAGAGAGAGAGCAGAGAGAGAAAGAGAGAGCAGAGAGGGGAAGAGAGAGAGAGCAGAGAGAGAAAGCAGAGAGAGAGAGCAGAGAGGGGAAGAGAGAGAGAGAGAGAGAGAGCAGAGAGAGGGAGAGAGAGCAGAGAAAGGGAGAGAGAGCAGAGAGAGGGAGAGAACAGAGAGGGGAAGAGAGAGCAGAGAGAGGGAGAGAGAGAGAGAGAGGCATATAGTTTAAGAGAAAGAGAGAGAGAGAGAGAGAACAGAGAGGGGAAGAGAGAGAGAGAGCAGAGAGAGAAAGAGAGAGAGAGAGCAGAGAGAGGGAGAGAGAGCAGAGAGAGAGAGAGAACAGAGAGGGGAAGAGAGAGCAGAGAGAGGGAGAGAGAGAGAGAGAGGCATATAGTTTATCGATCCCGTAGGAGAAATATCCATTAGAAAAGAATGAAAATGCATAGTTCCAATAATCAAATAAAAGATACTAATAACATAGAATTGTCCTCACTGTGGGACCAACACAGGCTCTAAATAATAATCATAAATGTACAATTCACCACAAAACACCGTTATTTCTTTTTCAAAACTCGCTTCTCGAGCTTTTTTCCAAGTTGCTTTTCCCCGAATAAGGACATTATTGAAACCCAAAACACTTCCCCCTTTTCTCTGCGACTAATAGATTATAATGGCAGCGTCATAATGAATATTTAGAAACACGTCGCTTCAGATTGAGTTTGCTGATTGAAAATTATTAGCCCGCCTCAAAAAGAGCGGCTGAAAAGCGTTTGGCAATTGGTTTGTTCCTCAGAAACAAATGAGGTCCTTTTTCCGAGGGTCGCGAGGGGCCGGGGCCTGAGCGCCGAATACTTTACTCCAATTCTCCTGGAACCGCTGCAGCTTTATATATACTTTGGTTTGGTATGAGCGGATTTGTCGAGTTGTATTTGAAAGCAGGCTGTTGTTGGAATACAGATGAGGAGTGGGAATGAAAAAATAAATGTATATGATAAACAATGGGGAACTGTGATGGAGAGGAAGCAATATTAATACATAATATTATCAGGGTTGATAACATGTGATCACAGCCTCATGAACTCTGGTGCATGGACACAGTCATTAGGAACCTGGAATACTCAGAGCTGATGCCTGGCCTTCCCTTCATCTGTCGTCTGGGTCTGGTCCTGTGTTTGCGATTCGGTTGAATACCAATCAGAGAGCGCAGGAGGCGGGTGTTGTAGTTAGATCTGGGTGACGTCAAGAGTTTGCGCCGAATTGGCAGGTTGTAGTTTGGCGAAGAATGCGATAGTAAAGTATTCTGGTCTGGTTCTATCAAGAAATTGAAGCCGGAGCAAGAGGAATGTTTAGCAAAAGTAATCGCTGGAAAGATAGTGGCGCTACTCCCCACAGGCTCCGTTAGCAGCAAAGCAGATGGCTAAAGCTAGGCTAAATGCTAAATGCTAACGACTCACTCGGGCTCATTACGTACGTCACAGTAAACTCAGATCCAATGGTTTCAATCTGCAAAAGGAGTTAGCCCCTCCCACCTGTTCACGGAGTCAATACAGCACCTCCAGACCTTAGTACCAAATGTAATTCGTACTATGGTGTGGTACGACCAGGCTTGAACAATGAAATGTCCACAATGAGTCAGAGAAAAGCAAAAAAACAAATAAACTCAGCTTTGTGGTTTGTGAAGAAGGGTCTTTGTGCAGATATTAATGAACATAGACTTGAACGACACGGTCCGTCCAGTCAGACTTCTTCATCATTTACAGAGATTGCTTATGTACTTTTCTGAGCGTCAGGGAGGAGTTAAAACGTTATCTGTAATTTACTTTTTTGGAGACACAACTTGCATTGACTTGCCACAACCAAATGTCAAACGTCTAGTTGGATAATGTGTATCTCCGTGGTTCTGTGTCTGCATTGTGACCTGATATTTTGTCTCTGTACTCAGCTCTTCTGACCCTGACTTGAACCGAGCTGTTCATGGAAAAACACACTCACAAAAAAGAATCATTAAATTAAATAATAAACATAGTATGATAAAGAATACATTGGGCTCTCTTCGCACATGCATTCCAGGCATTTTCATTTAATCTCACGTTTTTTTTAATCCCCACACAATCACAGACACACTACTGAAGAATGCGGTCTGAAGAATTCCAATAATAAATAATTCTAATATTGATGATGCTAGTTTTGTTGTTATTGTTATCTTCATCATCCTCACCATCGTCACTATTACTGATATACAGTCATTTTATTTTGGTTTTATTCATGCTTCGATTGTGACTCATTCTCAACATTTGCAAATTAAATGTTGTTTTTTAGTTTTCTTTTACATGAAAATAGTTCTGAGGCTGAGCACATCATGTCCCCACTCGTACAGGATTGTTATGTCTTTAAAACAGAGTATTTTTAGTAAGTTAGATTAGTGGAATGGGCAAACAATGGAAAACAAAACAGTCGTCTTGTGGTAAAGTGGAGGAATACATTTAGACATTACATTCTGCCATCTCCAAGTCCTCAAGCTAATTCTCTTCATTCATTTCATTTTCATTCATTCAATTATTTTAAGTCATGCCAGAGATAAGTACAAGGAGACAGTACAGTTGAGTCATATTGTGCAAAATAGAAAAGGACAGAAAGTGAATGCACAGCAACTGCCTGAAAGGGAGTGGGAGGGTCTTAAAGGTACATAGGAGAATCATTGGTCCTCCTGCTTGTCAATCATTCTGGTGATGTGTGACGTACGGCCATTGTACATGCTCGTAAACATTTTTTTTGGAATGAAATGCCCTCTCCACTTTTCGATCAAAACTCTCTGGTCTTATTGGTCGAACACGTATCACCAGAATGATTGACGATTAAGAGAACCAATGGTCTGGACGATCAGAATCAGAATAACCCGGAAGTAGAAAATCTTCCTAATCCTCGGACTGACAATGTAATGAAAGACGTCAGATTTTAAACCGTATTGTGGAGCAAGCCACCCCGGCAAAACACACAACCACGGATCATTTTCGACGCCAAATTGCTTTTTCTGTGCTGTTTTGTGACTGCTGTGGGCTCCCGTACCTTCTTGAGGCTGATGATCCCCTCGCGGGTGTCTCGGTCTGTGGAGATGGAGAAGGTGTTGGCTCCCTCCGAGTTGATGATGCTGTATTTGATGTCCGCGTTAATCCCAATGTCGTCGTCGTTGGCTTTGATTTTTCCCACCGGTTTTCCCACTTGTGCCGACTCCACCACGTACAGCTCGTAGTTTTCTGCAGGAGAAGAAGAAATGTGACTTTAATGAGGGATTCAAACCGGTTATGAGCCGCCATGGTTTCTACAGATGTCTGTGTGTGTGTGTGTGTGTGTGTGTGTATGTGTGTGTGTGTGTGTGCACTTGTTTTCAACTCCTGGTGGGTTCCATAACCTGAGATTCCACTCACGTCATGGGGACTGGTTTTACGTGGTGGGGCCCGAACACCGGACCCCACTGGTCCAAGCTTAATAATCAATGGGTAATGCTTTTCTAACGGTCCTTATGCAGTCTCTGTAAAAATATGGAAAGGACCCCTGGAGGTTTACTTTCCTGAAAAAAGTGTGTTATGTGTCGGAACCCTGGTGGTGGGTTGCGGGATATCAAGGAGGGGCACACTGGGGCAATTTCAGTCCAGCAGGCTGGAGCCAATCATGGAGCAGCACAACAGAGGAAATCAGGTGTCAGGCTAGAAAAAGGTGCAAGTGTGTGGTTCATTAGGCTGCAAGAAATCATGGAGGAGCACACTGAAGCGCACGCTTACAAACCACTGGTAAGTGCTGACTACAAGTCATGACTTCAAATTGTTATATAGAATGATTACAAATTATTTGTTGTTTGTGCAGCTTAGTCAAGAGTCCCTAATTGATGAAGTCGACTCAGATTCTGACGATTTAACTGTCAAGAAGAAACCTGTAAAAAAGTATGGAAAAAGAAAAATCAAAAACACTTTTCTTCAAGACTCGGAAAGTGACGAACCAAAGGCAAATAAGATTGTTATCATGCAGCTGCAAAAGAAGAAAAATGGGGGGGCGAGTATACAGCAAGAGACACTTCTGCCTCTACTGTTCAATGTCCTGCCACAAAATGTCCCGTCATTTGACTAGAAAACATGGAAATGAAAGTGACGTAGCCAGAGCATTGGCTCTACCTGTGAAATCTAAAGCACGTAAACTTCAGTTTGATTTGATCAGGAATAGTGGAAACCGTGAGCACAATTTTGAGGTTTTAAAGGCCGGCATTGGAACTTTAGTCTCAGCTAAACAGCCAAATTCCCCAGTTAAATCCAGTGAGTTTTTGCACTGTATAGACTGTGGGGCATTGCTTAAGCGAAAGTCGCTGTGGAGGCATGTGGCCAGGTGCCGGCTTTCACAGAAAGATGCCCAGGCTAAACCAGGTAGAAGTAGGGTCCAGTCCCTCTGCTCCCTAGCCCAGCCTGTACCGGAGGGCATCAGCAAAAAGCTGTGGTCTTTAATTTCGGCAATGCATCAGGATGAGGTCACGGGTGTTGTCAAAGCAGAAAAGGGGATTCTGAGACTCGGAGAGCACCTGTACTTAAAACACGGGCATGATAAGACAAAGCATGATTACATTAGGCAGAAAATGAGAGAAGTCGGTAGGTTAATTAACGAAGCAAAAACCGCAGGGAAACTGAAAACAATTAAGGATTTCTTTATTCCTTCCAACTTTAACCATGTGATTGATGCAGTCAGGTCTGTGGCTGGATATGATGAGGAAACAAATCAATACAAGACTCCATCCTTGGCCCTCAAACTCGGCCATAGCCTCAGAAAGCTAGCAGATATTCTTGAATGTGACTCAAAAATGGAGCATTGTGTTGATGAACTATTTATTAAAAACCTCCAACGAAGCCGGCTGCTTTTTGAGAAGAGGTGGGACGTCTGTGTTTCTTCTGCTGCCCTACAGACCCTCCGGCAAGCCAAGTGGAACACTCCGGACCTGCTCCCTCTGACTGAGGACGTTAGAGCCATGCATGCACATATTGAGGTATGTCGACCTGAATATGTGCAAACCCTAATAAGTGAGCCAACGTCTAAGCATTGGTCTAAACTGGCAGTTTTGACTCTTTGTGAGGTCATCATTTTCAATCGAAGAAGGGAAGGTGAGGTTTCAAAGATGCCACTGACAGCCTTTACCTTAAGAAGTAAGACTGGGATCCATTCTGACATTGCTCTGGGACTGTCCCAACTTGAGAAAAAGCTGTGTCAGCATTTTCAACGCATTGAAATTAAAGGGAAAAGAAGTCGGAAAGTGCCGGTTCTTTTGACTCCTGAAATGATTGCTTCGATGGAGGTGCTGGTGGAGAACAGAAGGGCCTGTTCCATCTCTGACCATAACCCATACTTCTTTTCCCGCCCGGGGCAGACACCCACATCAGGGGATCAGACTCCCTACGCCAGGTAGCCAAAGAATGTGGTGCGGTGCATCCAGAGATGCTATCCTCAACCAAACTTAGAAAGCACATAGCTACTATGTCTACAGTTCTCAATATGAAAGAGAATGAGATGGACATACTTGCCAACTTCCTCGGCCATGACATTCGCATCCACAGGCAATATTACAGACTACCAGAGGGGACACTGGAGCTGGCCAAAATCAGCAAAGTGTTGATGGCCATGGAGCAGGGAAGAGTGACGGAATTCGAAGGAAAGAGCCTCGACCAGATACAAATTGAGCCTGAAGGTAATTCTTGATATTATTAAAATATGTATGATTTTTTTCCCCTAAAGGCCACTTGTATTTTTATTTTCTGTGCGACAGGGAGAGCAGTAGAGATCCTCTCACAAACGGACGGGCTAAAAGAAACTTCAAGCGGAGAACCTTCAACCATTCATCCAGATGCACCCCATGGTAGTGGCAGTGCCCCTTCTGGTAAGTGTACCAGGTGGGGGATTACAGCCAGGCTGCTTGGTCCTCACCCTGGGAGTGTATATTGCTAATATATTTTTATTTCTCTCCCTAGAACGTTAGAGAAAGCCATGGTCTGCATCTGAGGTGAAGGCTGTGGAGAAGACCATGACACCTTTCATACAGACTGGAAAGGTCCCTGGGAAGTCTCACTGCCTGGCCTGCATTAATGCCTCACCAGATGACCTTAGACATCGGACATGGAGTGGCATTAAATTCTATGTCAAAAATAGAATCACTGCAATTCGAAAACAAAATCTAAAATAAAATTCCTTTAAAATAGTTGTTTGGTTTCTATTGACTGTTTTGTATTACTTAAAGTCTTGGTAAAAAAAGATTATGTCTATGGGTCCCATTCTGAACGGCCCTGTCAAAGGGACCCACCAGGTAACAAAAACGTGTATGTGTGTGTGTGTGTGTGTGTTAGACGCTTTATTGAATCATTTTGTAATTAACAAACCGATAAATGCGACAAACGGTGCAAAAAGACACTAGTTCTATTCTTGTCATGCTCTTACACTTTTTAATATTGTGAAAATAAGCATAAACGTCTCCCAGGAGCAGCACTCTGATTGGACCATGTAACATTTATTTTTTTATATTTTTTTATTAGAAGCATCAAGCACAAAAGTGACAGATTCCTTTACACATTAAACTTCATATTTAAGTCGAGTAACGAAAGATCTTTAAATACTGTAAACTTTATTAAGTATGTTGAGCGCTGTCACAGTTTAGAAGAATGCTCTGCTGAAAAAGAAAAAAGAAAAACACCAAAAAGCTGAGGTCCAGCTGTTTTAGTTTACATTGAGGTCTATGGGACTTTTTTCTGTGTAGCCCGCGTTAATTTAGTCTGCAGTACCACAGCGCCCCCTGTGGCCGTGGGTGGGACAGCTGTAAGATAGTTATACCCTTTCATTATTATAGATGCTGTGAATGGCTGTTGGTGGTGGTGGGAGGGGCCGGTGGCACAGACTGGTTGCCTCACTTCTGTCAGTGTGCCCCAGGGCAGCTGTGGCTGCAGCAGTAGTTTATCACCACCGTGTTTGGAGTGAATAATAATGATATAAGATATGATAAGATAAACTTTATTGATCCAACAATGGAGAAATGTACAAATGTGAAGGGTCTTTACGTGTCCTGAAAGCTCTATATAAAACTGATGCATAATTATTATCATAATTATCATCTGTCATTAGCATCTTTGTCGCTGTTGGACTGTTTCCAAAAAGACACTTTGCATAATGGCCAGATCCATACAGTACAATGCTCTCAGCGGGAATCGAGTATTTGAGCAGTCGGGGTCTTTGCTTTAACATTAAGGCCCGGGTCGTGCACAGGTAACAGTCATTTACCTCGACCTTGACCCAGATGTGAGCCGCCCTTGCTTCAACATTAGTTTGCACACGAGCAAAGACCAGAGCTAAGCATTTTAATGGCGCCGCTGATTGCTCCTTGGGGAAAGACGTTAAAAATAGTCTTTGGAGCTGGAGTCACAGCAGCGGAGCAGACGAAACGACGCAACTCCAGGCAAATGATTATTCACTCCGGGTTGATAGTTTGAATCAGTTTTTTTTGTTGGTAAATGGCTTGTTGAAGAAAAAAACTCTTCCCTCAAGGGTGATTGTGGCTGATGAAGCCCTCTCCAAGACTACAAATCCCTGCCCTCTTATTACTTAAACGTATCATTAAAATTCAGGGGAAATGTTGCCAGCGCCGTGGAAGCTTCTGATGAGCACTTCTGTAATTTTGGCTAATTGCGCCATTTTTACAGAAGAAAATGGAGGATAAAGAACGACTGTGACGTCAGAATGGGACCCATCATAACAAATGCTAACGCAGGGAGTTCATTTGGAGAAACTGCTCGGCTTGGTTTTCTGTATTTTCTGAAAGGGACTTCACAAAACGTTGGCTGTAATTTCCTAATTTTCTATGCACAAATATTCACCGAAAATACAAGTGGCTCATGACCATCCAATGTCACATCAAGTATGTTTTAACATCGAGCTAAAGAGTGGCGAGGAATGAGGTGACATTTCTTATTAGAATACTACATTTCAATCTGAGAGACTCGAACACACAGAACATGGTGTTATTAGAATTGTATATTGGTTGTAGATCTCCAACTTTAGCATCCAACTTTAGCAAATCTCTGACTTTAGTAAAATAAAGGAGCAAGTATAACATCAAACCCATAAAGAAGCAGTGGAAGTAGAAAATACTGTAGTGCAAGAAATTAATCAGAAATCAGTCACGACGATTTCAACGATTTAACATGTTTTTAATGGATGGGGAAACCAGAGCGGCCTGAAAATACCGACACAGACACAGGGAGAACATGCAAACTACGCATAGAGAAGCCCCAACTGCAGGTGGAATCGAACCCAGGACATTCTTGCACCGTCCTGCCCTTTTGAGGAGCGGTTTAGACACGCCTGCTCTAAACAGTACCTCCTCCTGCAGAAACAGCACAGTCACCCACTAAACTCGCCCCATATCGAGAGGAACATTCCCAATCCGGCTCTGATCTATGGTAGCGCCTGCGGCTCAGTCTCTGCTGGGGGCTTTTCGGAGCCAAGAATAGCTGTCCCGGTGCCACACTTGGCTCCTTGTTTAATGCAGTCACTGGAAGGTAAGATGTACGTCGCGTGCTACAACTAATTGGTTACTTTTCTAAATCTTCCCTTCGGCAAAGTGATCATTAAAGAAACACATTGACACAGGAGGACCTCAGTGTTAGTCAGTTATTACAGGGGTCCAAACTGCTGATGTGGCAAAAAAGACTGCAGATTAGTCATCTCCAAAAGCACACACTAAAAAATCTAAAAATAAAGTATTGCAGAGTCCACGCTAGTGCTTGAATTGAGTCGGTTTTAGCTTTATGTGTATACATCTTAACTGGATTAAGACAAGATAAGATAAACCATTATTGGTCTCACAGTGGAGAAATGTCAGTGTCATCGTTGCACATTACAACAAAGAAAGGAATAAGAGCGCTCAGATTGCACACAATTGAGTCTATTATTTAAGATAATAGACTATATAATTGAAATAAGATAGAATAAAATAAGATAAACTCTAGGGCTATAATTGCACTTGGATCAGAAGTATTTACAGATGTGTATTGGACTTTAGCAGTGGAGAATATGAGCAGCATAAGCATTATAACCAGTTTGGCCAGCAAGCCAAGAAACAGCGTCATACAAAAGTGTTTTAGTCAAGATTTTGCAGTAAAACCACATTGGAAAAACTGTACAAGACCCCAGTGTGCCGCAGACAGAGACGTTAGGCTCACACCAGGCTCCAGCCTCTGTTATGTCTTCTTCTCTGTTATGTTTTTAAGCAGGACTAGCTTCTTTACACTTCATATTCCAAGGACCTGCTAATTTTTCCCAAGGTGGCGGGCGCAGACCAATTTCAGGGCGCGAGACGAATCAATAAACGAAAATACAGTAGGCTAAATGACACTGCTAGCATAAGATAGAACACTATTTTGACATATTTTGACTATTTTGACATTTATGATCTGCAAATGTGTTTGTTCTTTTGGGGGGAGGTTTTGGGAATCACTGGTCTAAGTTTGAAAACACACATGTCTGTTGTGTGTGAGCAAACAACAATCATCAGGTCTGTTTTAGACGAGGCAGAAATCATGGTTAAAAGCTAAAGGAGAACATAAAAAACAACAACGCATGTCTCCTTTAAACCTCATCTTTGCAGTTTTAATGACTTTTCTTTTCCCAAGTGCTGCAGCTAATGTGTACGAAGAAGCAAGAAGCAAAACTGAAATTGATTTTAACCATTGCAGCTTTCAGAATGAGATTCATCGTGAAATTGCCAGGAGGGAATATTAGCTCCGAGCTGTGTAAACTTGCAGAAGGTTATTAAAAGTTTATGGTTTCTGAGTCTGATTTCCATTTAGGACATGTTTTACTTATGTGTGTAAAAGGAGTACATTACGGTCACAGCAGTAACCAGGAGGTCTGACGGGATCTGGCTTTCACCCGCGGGTCTGGCCACGGATCAAAATGCTATAGAAATGGAATAATACAAACACATAGAAGCCATGGTCCATACACTGCCAAAAGTGGTGAAAAATAAGTGATAAAATGGCTCAAATGTGGCAATTGGAGCACATTCTGACTCCCTTAAAACAAGATTTGCCAATGGGAAAAGCAAGAAATGTCTCCCTTGAAATGAGAAATAAAGCATCAGTTCTAAATGTGGAGAATCTTGTTTTAACACACTCAGAATGTGCCATATTTTCCTCATATTTGATTATTTTGTGCAGTGTGGGGAGTGGGATGTGACCAATGCAAGCCGACCATGATAAAGTATAAATATTTGTGTGTTAGAGCGTCTCACTTTGAGGGAACTTGGGCGGGTTGTCGTTGACGTCAGTGAGAGTGATGTTGACGGTGGTGGAGCCTGAGAGACCTCCCACCTGACCTGCCATGTCTTTGGCCTGGATCACCACGCTGTAGTGCTCTCGGGCCTCGCGGTCCATGTTCGACAGCGCGGTCCGGATGATTCCTGCAAAAAAACAACTTATTTGTAAACATCCCACCATTTTTGCGTACAGTATATAAATATATATATATATATATACAGTATATGTATATAATCAATTAAGTATCTTTTGAAACCTCTGTAGCTGTAAACGTGTACCCAATGTCTGATTCCAAAGTACATTTTAAAGCTGGGATGTCTAACTTCCCAAAATAAAACAACTATTGAAATCCAAAGAAATCCTCACTCTATAAACAGCTTGGTTCACAGGAAAATGAAACATGGAGGACCACCCCCCCCTCAACCAATCAGCTCTCAGTCCAATACACCAGACTCAAAGGGCTCTGTCTTACATGCACTTGTTTTCAACTCCTGGTGGGTTCCATAACCTGAGATTCCACTCACGTCATGGGGACTGGTTTTACGTGGTGGGGCCCGAACACCGGACCCCACTGGTCCAAGCTTAATAATCAATGGGTAATGCTTTTCTAACGGTCCTTATGCAGTCTCTGTAAAAATATGGAAAGGACCCCTGGAGGTTTACTTTCCTGAAAAAAGTGTGTTATGTGTCGGAACCCTGGTGGTGGGTTGCGGGATATCAAGGAGGGGCACACTGGGGCAATTTCAGTCCAGCAGGCTGGAGCCAATCATGGAGCAGCACAACAGAGGAAATCAGGTGTCAGGCTAGAAAAAGGTGCAAGTGTGTGGTTCATTAGGCTGCAAGAAATCATGGAGGAGCACACTGAAGCGCACGCTTACAAACCACTGGTAAGTGCTGACTACAAGTCATGACTTCAAATTGTTATATAGAATGATTACAAATTATTTGTTGTTTGTGCAGCTTAGTCAAGAGTCCCTAATTGATGAAGTCGACTCAGATTCTGACGATTTAACTGTCAAGAAGAAACCTGTAAAAAAGTATGGAAAAAGAAAAATCAAAAACACTTTTCTTCAAGACTCGGAAAGTGACGAACCAAAGGCAAATAAGATTGTTATCATGCAGCTGCAAAAGAAGAAAAATGGGGGGCGAGTATACAGCAAGAGACACTTCTGCCTCTACTGTTCAATGTCCTGCCACAAAATGTCCCGTCATTTGACTAGAAAACATGGAAATGAAAGTGACGTAGCCAGAGCATTGGCTCTACCTGTGAAATCTAAAGCACGTAAACTTCAGTTTGATTTGATCAGGAATAGTGGAAACCGTGAGCACAATTTTGAGGTTTTAAAGGCCGGCATTGGAACTTTAGTCCCAGCTAAACAGCCAAATTGCCCAGTTAAATCCAGTGAGTTTTTGCACTGTATAGACTGTGGGGCATTGCTTAAGCGAAAGTCGCTGTGGAGGCATGTGGCCAGGTGCCGGCTTTCACAGAAAGATGCCCAGGCTAAACCAGGTAGAAGTAGGGTCCAGTCCCTCTGCTCCCTAGCCCAGCCTGTACCGGAGGGCATCAGCAAAAAGCTGTGGTCTTTAATTTCGGCAATGCATCAGGATGAGGTCACGGGTGTTGTCAAAGCAGAAAAGGGGATTCTGAGACTCGGAGAGCACCTGTACTTAAAACACGGGCATGATAAGACAAAGCATGATTACATTAGGCAGAAAATGAGAGAAGTCGGTAGGTTAATTAACGAAGCAAAAACCGCAGGGAAACTGAAAACAATTAAGGATTTCTTTATTCCTTCCAACTTTAACCATGTGATTGATGCAGTCAGGTCTGTGGCTGGATATGATGAGGAAACAAATCAATACAAGACTCCATCCTTGGCCCTCAAACTCGGCCATAGCCTCAGAAAGCTAGCAGATATTCTTGAATGTGACTCAAAAATGGAGCATTGTGTTGATGAACTATTTATTAAAAACCTCCAACGAAGCCGGCTGCTTTTTGAGAAGAGGTGGGACGTCTGTGTTTCTTCTGCTGCCCTACAGACCCTCCGGCAAGCCAAGTGGAACACTCCGGACCTGCTCCCTCTGACTGAGGACGTTAGAGCCATGCATGCACATATTGAGGTATGTCGACCTGAATATGTGCAAACCCTAATAAGTGAGCCAACGTCTAAGCATTGGTCTAAACTGGCAGTTTTGACTCTTTGTGAGGTCATCATTTTCAATCGAAGAAGGGAAGGTGAGGTTTCAAAGATGCCACTGACAGCCTTTACCTTAAGAAGTAAGACTGGGATCCATTCTGACATTGCTCTGGGACTGTCCCAACTTGAGAAAAAGCTGTGTCAGCATTTTCAACGCATTGAAATTAAAGGGAAAAGAAGTCGGAAAGTGCCGGTTCTTTTGACTCCTGAAATGATTGCTTCGATGGAGGTGCTGGTGGAGAACAGAAGGGCCTGTTCCATCTCTGACCATAACCCATACTTCTTTTCCCGCCCGGGCGCAGACACCCACATCAGGGGATCAGACTCCCTACGCCAGGTAGCCAAAGAATGTGGTGCGGTGCATCCAGAGATGCTATCCTCAACCAAACTTAGAAAGCACATAGCTACTATGTCTACAGTTCTCAATATGAAAGAGAATGAGATGGACATACTTGCCAACTTCCTCGGCCATGACATTCGCATCCACAGGCAATATTACAGACTACCAGAGGGGACACTGGAGCTGGCCAAAATCAGCAAAGTGTTGATGGCCATGGAGCAGGGAAGAGTGACGGAATTCGAAGGAAAGAGCCTCGACCAGATACAAATTGAGCCTGAAGGTAATTCTTGATATTATTAAAATATGTATGATTTTTTTCCCCTAAAGGCCACTTGTATTTTTATTTTCTGTGCGACAGGGAGAGCAGTAGAGATCCTCTCACAAACGGACGGGCTAAAAGAAACTTCAAGCGGAGAACCTTCAACCATTCATCCAGATGCACCCCATGGTAGTGGCAGTGCCCCTTCTGGTAAGTGTACCAGGTGGGGGATTACAGCCAGGCTGCTTGGTCCTCACCCTGGGAGTGTATATTGCTAATATATTTTTATTTCTCTCCCTAGAACGTGTAAGAAAGCCATGGTCTGCATCTGAGGTGAAGGCTGTGGAGAAGACCATGACACCTTTCATACAGACTGGAAAGGTCCCTGGGAAGTCTCACTGCCTGGCCTGGCCTGGCCTGGCCTGGCCTGCATTAATGCCTCACCAGATGACCTTAGACATCGGACATGGAGTGGCATTAAATTCTATGTCAAAAATAGAATCACTGCAATTCGAAAACAAAATCTAAAATAAAATTCCTTTAAAATAGTTGTTTGGTTTCTATTGACTGTTTTGTATTACTTAAAGTCTTGGTAAAAAAAGATTATGTCTATGGGTCCCATTCTGAACGGCCCTGTCAAAGGGACCCACCAGGTAACAAAAACGTGTATGTGTGTGTGTGTGTGTGTGTGTGAGGGTATGCATGTGTGTGTATGTGTGTGTATGTGTTTATGTATGTGTGTGTATGCATGTGTGTGTATGTGTTTATGTATGTGTGTGTATGCATGTGTGTAAATGTGTTTATGTATGTGTGTGTATGCATGTGTGTGTATGTGTTTATGTATCTGTGTGTATGCATGTGTGTGTGTGTGTTTATGTATGTGTGTGTATGCATGTGTGTGTGTGTTTGTGGGTATGTGTGTGTATGCATGTGTGTGTATGTGTTTATGTATGTGTGTGTATGCATGTGTGTGTATGTGTTTATGTATGTGTGTTTGTGTTTGTGGGTATGTGTGTGTATGCATGTGTGTGTATGTGTTTATGTATGTGTGTGTATGAATGTGTGTGTATGTGTTTATGTATCTGTGTGTATGCATGTGTGTGTGTGTTTGTGGGTATGTGTGTGTATGCATGTGTGTGTATGTGTGTGAGTGCATGTGTGTGTATGTGTTTATGTATGTGTGTGAGTGCATGTGTGTGTGTGTTTATGTTTGTGTGTGTATGCATGTATGTATGTGTTTATGTTGGTATATGTGTGTTTATTTGTGTGTATGTATGTATGTGTGTATGTATGTACAGTATGTTTGTGTGTGTGTGCATGTGTATGTGTATGTGTTGTGTGTTTGTGTACTATTGTCAAAAGTAGCCGTGCCTTTTGTGCCTCTCGATAAAACCCTGGACCAAACTTTGAGCCTGGTCTATCTGTATTGATATCAGGTTTGCAGCAAACAGCCGGAGCCAAAACCAGAGCTGCAATTTCTGCAAATAAAGCCGCCGCTGCTTTTTTTGTTGAGGCGCATGAAATTGAGACAGTGTTTTTGTGAAGTCAGTGTCTCTGTGTCTGGACAAACAAATGAGGAACAATGAATCACTTGGCTGCGTTTGTCGTCTGCACCGCACTGACTTTGAGAATGGATACACCGCTTTCATTCTTCTGCAGAAACAATCACATCTCTGTTTACAGTTCACGATAGCGGCTGTGAGGTGCATTTCTACGGGAAAGACAGGTAAAGGATGTATTTGATCATTCAGTCGGAAATGAAAGGCTAATAGATGGACTTCTATAGTCATATAGTATGTTGATCTTATTTAAACTACTGTATGTATTTATTCAATTCACTTCAACTCATTCAGGGGCAACAGAAGCTCAGTTGGTAGAGCTTTGGCCTTTAGACCTTCTCAAACTGCTCCCACTAATGCCTGCTGTCGTGTTGTCCTTGGCCAAGACCCTTATCCCCACATTGCCTGAAGCCCCCGCTGAAACACCAAGGCTGCGGCACCACTGACGGAGCAGCCATCTTCCTGTGGACCCACCATCTGCAGAGGATCAGAGGGACTGGTGGCAGCTCTGATTGTCACCCCCCGATCCAGAAATGGCTGAATAAGAGGGTAGAAAATGTTCAAAGTATTCTTGTATCGCCCAAAATCACAAAAGTAGTTTTCTCGGATGACTTTACACAACAGTTGAATTCCCCGACACAGATCAAAGAATCAAACCGTTCAAACACAAGAAATAAACACATGGGTATTGGTTCGTGGCAGATGACCAAAGTCCATCTGTAAATGTTGATAATTGTTCATAAATGTTGATGTTGATGTCCTGGACCATCAACACTGCTCTTTTAGTTATATAGTAGTTCTGTATTGTGCTATACAAACAAACCTGCCTTTCCTTCGGTCTGCTGCACTGTCCACTGCACCGTGTTGTGTAGTCATAATTGTGGATATGTTGTGTTGTTTTTTCCTGTTGTCATTGTCGTATGTCGCTTTGAAACTATAGCTAACTTTTATTTATTTTTGTTGCTATCTTTTGTATACCCGTTTGCAAGAGCCATGTAAGTCACTATTTGACTCTTTGGGTTGAGAGTGAAGGTGGTCCTCTCTTCATCATTTTTGTTTCTCAAAACTGAAAACTGTTTTGAGAGCAAAGAAATAGCAAAACAAGTCATACTTTTGTAGTTTCAAAGTTAGGACCCCCAGCTTTAACCCAACACTGTCTCATTCCAACACATGCATTTCTAGATTTATTTGGGTTGGGGAGTACTACATTTTTTGGGAAAACATTGCAAAAGGAAGTGTCTAGAATGTCTCAATAGGCTCAATGAGGCGAGTTCCGGTTCCAAGATTCAAAAGGAGATGATCTTTCTTCGTAAATCCCCAATCAGGGCCGTATGAGAGACATGTCGGAGGTCAATATTTACTGAATATGCAACAAATGGTTAAGTGTAAGTTGTTTACACTGCTATTGATCTAATACCAGGCGTAGGGCTGGGCGATATGACTAAAAAATAAAATCTCGATTTTTTTAGTCATCTTGGACGATTACGATTTTAATCGATTTTAATCGAAGTATTACAAACTACATGCATGTATTTCAAAATAGGTTTGATTTATTCAAAAATATCTTGTGCAAAGTAACAAATCTTTAGCCAACAATAAATGAACACTGAGTGTATCAGTAAACAAATGTAAACTTAAATATTTATAACATAAATCTTGTGCAAGTAACACAAATATTCAGCCAACAATAATTGTACTGATTTTTATATCAGTAAAAAAATGTAGACTTATTACAAGTGCAAGAAAAAGAGCTTCATTTGCTGAAATATCACAATTAATCAAACGTTTGATTAGTCAAAAGACAGAATGATGTGTCTTGTAAACGACCTATGACATACTATTGCTTGTGCAAAAAATACAACTTAATCCGCACCACTTTGACAAACTCGGATACGCTTTAACTCTGGGACATCACGTTCTTATAATCGTTTTGTTTTGTTGTTTTACACTGTTAGATTTCTTGCAAGAAAAACAAGCCTATCAACCGACTCTGGCTTAAGACAAGCTCTTGTGCATGTTACGATGTTTCCCCCGGTACTAAATACCCTTTCAGACGGGGCACTTGTCGCTGGTATTGACAGGTACTTCTTCGCAAGCTTACTAAGTCTTGGGAAGTGGGATTCATGCTGCTTCCACCATTGAAGTGGATCTGAATCTGCATCAATTTCGGGTGCCACTAAATATGCTAACACTTCGCCCTTGAGTTTAGCCTCATATGGCTGAGTGTCAGCTTCCACAGCAGCAGTCTTTTTAAAGAAGCTGCTAAGCGATTTCTTTTTCTTTGCTACTGGCTCAACAACATTACTCTGGCTCTCAGATTTGTCTTCACCTGCAGGAGTACCTTGAACTTGAAGGCCTCTGTAATGCATAGAGCAGAGTTCTGTAATGATTCTCTCTTTTAGTTTATCAATCTGGTTTGGCTTAAGGTAAGTTGTGCGGAACCTGGGATCTAGCAGTGAGGTAAAGTCGATCAGGTCTTGTGTGGCTGGATCACTATATTTAGTGTTCAGATAATCCAGCACATTTGCTTTGATCTGTTTTGTAAGCTCTGTATCACTTTCTTCTGGTTTTAGAAAACTGTTGTTAAACAGATGAAGAGTTGGCTTTATGAAAGAGATGCTCACGTATGTTTCACCTGAGAGAGCATCAGTGAAGTCATGTAATGGCTTAATGGCTTTATTTACAGACTCTAAATGTCAATGTCCTGCCAAGTAGGCACTAGGTGTCTTGTTTTCTTATCTGCACCCAAGATTTGCCCAATTGCCTTCTCCTGCTCTAGAATGCGCTCGATCATTTTCTGGCGTGACCCCCATCTTGTTGGCGATTCTGATATTAGCTGATGTTCTGGGAGGCCTAGTTCTGCTTGAACCAGTGCCATGTCCCTCCGCTTCTTCCAACTAAAAGAGAAGGCACTGATGACTTTCTTGCAGACTCCTACAGTGCGTTCAATGCGATGATCCTTACAAGCATTCCCTGTAAACAAACATAATTAAGACACAATGTCAGCCACTCATTGCTCATTTCGTATAGTGTATGTAAATAAACATGTACATAATTAATGTAAAGAATACACATGTGCAGTGTTGGGTAGTAACTAAATACATGTACTTAGAATACTAATTTTGAGTAACTGTATTGAGGTATTCTGGGCTTTGGGCATTTGCAAAGTGCTTTTTTGCATTCCTAATTAGTGGTAAATAAGTTCATAACAGGCGAGTATTCAGTGTAGCCTTTTATTAGTATTATGCAAATCAATGTGAAAGTATTCAAACTAAGTATTCAAAACAGAGTACTCTGTTTCAGTATTCTGTAAATAAAATGTCAAAGTATTCTCCCCAACACTGCACAAATGTGCTGTTACAGTGATTACAGGCTCAGAGTAAAGTGATAGCACCATTTAAAAACATTATTTCACTTACCTATTGCGTTGTGTAGCCTGTGCCCAAAGCAGTTGAGGTGGGTCCACTGGTTTAACTTCAGGGCCTTTATCATATTTGTTCCACTATCTGTAGTCATGCACACCATGTTCTCCTCATCCAACTTCCACCGTGTCAACGAATCTTTGAGCCCCTGTGCAATGATCTCCCCCGTATGATCTTCTGGGAAGTAGGTGGTTTGTAAACTGCAGCTGTTGAGAGCCCAGTTCTCATCGATATAGTGCACAGTTAAACTCATGTACGGCTGAAGAGATCGACTGGACCAAAGGTCTGTAGTAGTTGCAAAAAACAAAGCGGAGTCCAACTTTTCATAGAGCGCTTGTCGTGTTTCGTTGTACAGTTTTGGTAGCGCAACCTCCGCAAAGTATTTGCGACTCGGCGGGTCATATTTTGGATCACACACTTTTAACATGTGCAGAAAGCCAGGCTTCTCTACGGTGTAAATGGGCATCATGTCCATCCCAATATGAACAGCTACAGCGTCGGTCACCTGCTTCCACCGCGCACTACACTTGTCGTACGGCACGGCTTTAGAAAATGAGGCGGCTAAAGTTTGTTGTCTTTTCCCGGCGTGGTCGTGTTTGTCTTTGCTCGTGCTACCCACGCTGCACTCCCGAAGCTGCGAGCACTGCTCCCATTCTGTGGGGTGCTTTTGCCGGAGATGCTGAAACAAGTTAGTTGTGCTGCTACTCTTGGTTTTGATAGCATTTCGGAAAACCTTGCACACGACTGTAGTCTGCTCCACGTCAGCCTTGTCAAAGCCGAACCACTTCCATATAATCGACGTAACATGAGTCCCTTTTCTGGTTACCAACTCTTCAGTTTGAGCAGCGGCCATGGCGTTTGTAAACAGTGCAGCCTGCTAGCGCGCGGAAGGAGGAAAGAGGCGGCGGAAGTCGACGCAAACGCGCAAGTCAAAAAATGCAGAAGAAGAAACTTCTTCTTCTTTTCGGTTATTGGCGGGCAGAAGAAGAAACTACCTCGATTTTACGATTTAACACATTTTCAAATCGTGGGCTTTTAAAAACATGAATTAATCGAATTAATTCGATTTATCGCCCAGCCCTAACCAGGCGTCTCCAAACTTTTTCGATCAGAGAACTACTTTTACACAACAGAACTCACATAAACCCACATCAAACATACCGTAATACTCTATAACCCTACATTACTGAATATTATGAAAACCTTTATTGTTAAAATCTATATATATGACTCAAAATTTCCTATTTTAAAGTCCAGTTAAAGTTCTTAATCCTTTGGGGAGCTATGTTGAATCTTTTATAACACTTTTGAAGCCTTTATGTTAAAGCTGAACTCATCATTACGACTGTATGCAAAAGTTTTTCATTTTCCACATGTTGTTTCGCTTAAGGTCAAAGCTGATATAACTTTTGAGAAGGGAAAGACACTTCAGAAACTTTGCCAATAAGGAGCGCAGAAGTAATGTTCGCCGCATGCCTTAATGTGTTTAGGTGTACGAGTATTCATCAAATTGAAAGGACCTTCTTGTCTTTGTGTACGCTGCTGTGATCCCAGACCTCTGCATCTTTTGTTATTCTCTTCACTACCTGAAACAGGACTGGGGAGCTACTAGTCACGTCCAAACTTCACGAGACGTCAATGTGAATAGATTGACCCCTTTTGCCATTTGCTTAACAATCTTAATTTGTCCATTTGACCTCCTCTGAGTTCAATTCGTTCGTTTGTTCTGTGTTCATATCCATTTTTCTGGTATTTCCAACATTCTCATACAATTCTTACATCTGTGTCAAAAAGTCCATGTAACTTGTTCCTCGCCCTCAGAACAGTTTGGTTCTATCTCTAGTTTGCACATAAATTTATTTCCATCAAAAGTTTTCCAGACAGAAGAATGAAAAAGAGAGAACCACCCACACTCAGCCAATCATCTCTCTGCCCAAAGAGTGAAATAGTGACTCACAGGGATCTTTCTTTGTCTCTCTCTAAATATGACTTCACCCAGGGTTTTTTCTCTTCTATTTTTGTTGATACAGAAGAGTGTAAAGACAGTGATGATCCAGGGCTGTAAAGCTATTTATGAGAGGAAAGAAGGCACCTTTAGTATGCATTGGATAATTCTGTTTCCGGGTACACCCCCACCGACAAGGAGCCAGATTACAAGCATGTCAGCGCACATGCTCACGGACCTTTCTGAGCCAGGACCCGCCCCACTCAAACTGGGATGTGTTTTAGTTTAGGTGTAATTAGAAGTATTGGGCTCTTCTACACCAGACCGTGGTAGGTTAGCAATGTCTTTGTGATGTACATTCGGGTCAGGTAATAATCATAACAAGACAAAAGCATCTCTCTGAAGTGAAAAGTGCCATTTCCTGCTGCACTTCGCAAACACTCATAGCACATGTTCCATTATACATGATACATGCCTGTCCCCATAGGCTCCATAGCAGCCTTAAATATAGCTTTTGTCCCTCAGCAAATGCATGTATTAAAACCTACCGTACGCACTGTATCCCCGCATGGATTACAATGTGCAAGTAACAAATGTGTGCCATAACTGGAATGGACAACTTTACTTTTTTATAAGTAAAGAGTATCATAAAATGCTGTTATTATATGTTTTAGTGATGAAAGTGAACAAAAGAAAGGTTCTGTAAAAGTTTAACAATGCAATCTCTCCATGTCATTAAAAACTTATCTGACAACTCAGCAAGATAAAGGGACCGTCTCAAGTTAAGTCAGGATCCATGTTCTCCCCTGAGTCCACTCTTAAGGGTCCTGTTCCAACTGGGATTTGACCCCCAGAACCTTCTGGATCAGAACAGAGAGTGCTAACCACTCAGCCAGTGCCAAAGGCTAAAATAATGCATATTTCTGAGCATTAGATGTAGTATTTTTCAACTATATGATATTTAAAACAGTCCCTCCCCTCTGCAGAACCATCCCCAATAACATTCGCTGAAGGAGAATTGTTAAACCAATGACAAAGGGCCTCGAGGATTAAAAGTGATTTTGTCCAATCAGAAAGCCGCAACGGTGAGCATGGACAACTTTTGGACCAAAGAAGCCACCATGCAAAAGCATTGGGTAATTCTCTTTCCGGGTACACCCCCACTGGTTAAGGAGTGGGATTGAATCATGTCAGCGCACATGTTCATGGACCTTTTGGAGCCGGGACCCGCCCCCACACCATGTCTGTGTATATGTCTATGTACATATATGTGTGTGTCTGTGTCGGTTTCTCTGTGCGTGTTTGTGTATGCATATGTATGTGTGTGTCTGTGTGCGTATGTGTGTTTATGTGCGTGTGTTTGTATATGAGTGTGCGAGTATAGGTGTATGTGAGTGTGTGTGTGTGTGTCTGTGTCTCTGTGCGTGTATGTGAGTGTGTGTGTGTGTGTGTGAGTGTGT